GCTTCGGCGCTTGCTTAAGTCCATATAGGGACTTGACCAATATGTATACCTTACTTTCTTGGTCAGATACTACGAATCCTTTGGGTTGTTTCATATAGATTTCTACCTCTAGTTCACCATTCAAGAACTCTGTTTTGACATCCATCGGATGAATCTCTAGATTGTGCAGTGCATCAATCACGAGAAGCACCCTAATTGAGGTGATTCTAGTCATGAAAGAATATGTGTCAAAGAAGTTATCTCCCGCTCTCTCTTTTTGATTAGAGCCCTTAACAAGCAATCAGGCTTTAAAATTCTCAACTGAGCCATCGGATTTGTATTTTCTTTTAAGAACCTACTTGCATCTTAGGAGCTTGCAACCTTCTGAGAGATCGGTCAAGATCCAAGTGCTATTTTGCATGATCGAATTAATTTTGTCATTTATCGCTTTCTGCCAGAATTTAGCATCTAGCCCTAACAATGTTTCTTTCATTGTCCTTGGCTCATTATCCAAGATATAAGTGATGTAATATGGACCAAAGTCTTTGGATATTTTCATCCTCTGACTATGTCTCGGTTCTTCTTCCGAAAAATTATATCTGGTAGTCATCTCACATATTCTCTTCCGAGAACATTCAAGAACGTCATTCTTATTTTTATAATGGAATACATCTTCAAAGAAAGTCGCATTCCTTGATTTCATCGTTATCCCTTCACTGATGTCAGAGATTTCTGATATGTGAACGAGAAAATAGTATACACTACTGTTAAGGGCGTAGCCTATGAATACACAGTCAACGGTCTTTGGACCAATAGGGACTATCTTTGGCAAAGGTACTTCCACCTTAGCCAAACACCCCCCCTCCCCCCTCCCACACTTTGGGGTATTTTTTAGATAGCTCATTGCCTTTCCACAAATGTTCATCCTTTCCTTTTAGGAGAATTAACAATTTAACTCGTTGTCGATATGACTCCCTCTCATGTCCAAAGACACTTGTTGAAAGGCTTGCAACGTTCCCACAACTTGTAAGGAATTACACCTTACCCTTTTGAGGAAATTAAAGCTTTACTGTTAATACAACTTTTTTCTCACATGTCCTGAGGCATTAGGTAGAAGGCTCAAGACCTTTCTACATCAAATAAGGATATGCATCCTTATTTTTATGGGAAGTACTTGTCGTCAATAGGCTTCCCCTCACATGTTCTGAGATAATATAAAACTCATCAGTATGATATTCATTATTTCTTTCGGTTTCAAGTCTTTTCCGGTCATAATTTTGAGAACCACGTTTTTGCCCTCACCAGCCTTAGTCAGGCTCTCCTCTTCTTCGAGAGGTTGTCTCATTCCGCTAAAGTTGGTCTATTATTAAAGACCTTCAATTTTGAACTATTCTTCTGATTGTCCTTTTTACCACGGAGTTTGACAATCAGGTCCTCAAATAACATAGTCTTTTGCTTAAGTCTTGAGGTAGTTCTTAAAGTTCTCTATGATGGAGAAAATTTTTCAATAACAACTGCCATGTAAAGGCATCGGACACAATGTCCCATCGGTTTGGACATTATGTAACAAGAGTTCAAACTTTTATACGTTTTTCACAACCGAGCATATGTCTACCATATGGTACAACAAGTTTCTCGATACAACGTACCTCTTACTACCCCCATCTTCAGTTTTATTTTTTCTCTCTTTAATACTCTTTGCATGGCGATATACAGAGTAAAAGAATCATAGAGACTATTCAGAATAAAGCAAAAATAGATACAAAACTTTTCCTTGTCTCCCTCGATCGCATCCAACTTGTCTGGAAAGGATGACGTATTCTCCAAAGGATAGTGACTTCTTCGGAGTACCACTTTGTAGGCATCTCTGAAGCGATTCACAAATTGACAATAATAACAAACAACTTCCATTGGTCATTATGCATCTGGAAATTGACTATAATTACCAGAATTTCATAAAACTAACAAAATATTCCAAAGACTTATCAAGAAAGCAATCAAGAAACTAACAAATATTTCCAAGAAATTCAATAGGAAAATTCAAGGAAATCACAATCAATTCCAAAAAATTTATCCAATTACAATGAAATGATATATAGCCAATCGACTTAGATTTTCAACATGTTATCAACAATTTCACAGGAAATATTTACCAAGAAATTCAAGAGAGAAAAATTTAGCCTTTTACTCACAGATCGAGTCTTTCCAAACTTGAACCATCAAATTTTTTTAGTTTCACAATCAATTAACCTCACAGACTTTGACAACATTGTTGTGTTTCCATTCTAGGATTGGGTTTTTGGAACAATATCTCGTAAGTACAAAATTATACGAGTTAATAAGTGAAAACATAAAAATCCAAATTACCAATATTGAATCAAAAATAAAATATATAATCTAAAGGATAAAGATTAAAATTAAGAAAACACACAAAAAATCCTAAAAGAAGATAAGACATAAAAGAACTTTCTTGTTCATGTTTCTTTTCAAACGATAGAGAGAAATTTGGTTGTTCATCCAATCTTTAGATCAAGTTTGCCGAAGACTATGCGCAGGAATGTATGGCCAAGTTTTGTAATTTTCTGGTGGAGGTATAAACGTCTGATCGGAATACCCACTATTGGATTGGAAGAATAATGAGTCACGAACCTTCTCTAAAACTTTCATCTTAATTCAATAGTTAACAAAGCGAGGATCATTGTTTTTCCGAGGCTGCGCAGACTTTGACGAAAATTCTCTTTTTCCCTTTTGTCTTCCGTTGAAGGTGGCTTCGAAGGTCTTAGTGGCAAAGAGGCTATCCGTTAATTAGTAGGGTTTATTATCACCTATATTTCGCCCTGCGACGATTGAAAAATATGGGGTGATAATAAGGCAACAAGAAGGAAGCCGAGTTGAGGAATATCTTTTTTTGTATAGCGAAATATGACTGGTAGTGCTCCGGTATATCCGTATCACTTCCAAAGAGAAAATGACTTATATTCTCTTGAAGCAGCACCGCAAACAAGTGGTCTAACGAATAGAGAGAGAGTATGATAGTTGGTAGAATAAAGAAGGAATGGGGAAGAGTATCTCAGGATGGTAGTATGTAGACTTGTTTGTGTATTGACTTTAGGGTCATGCCTATTTATAAAATTTCTACATTACAAATTTTTTGGGGATTCTCTCTAAATATGGTGTATCATCCATATCAATAATCATATCTATTATGATATCAAGAGTCAAATCTCATAAAATATGATCTCAAATTTGGATATGGAAATCAATTTTAAAATATGACTTATCCGTTTGGTATGAATAGAGTTTTTCTGGATTTCTCTATCCGATCCGTGAGCTCACCGATTAGGTTCGACGTCCGATCCGAATTCACACCTCGATATGGCATATAATTATGTGATATGAATAATCGTATTATCTCATCTATTTTTGACTCACCATAATTCGATTTTGAGAATAGATTAAACAATTAATTATTATTTGATTTTCTAAATTCTCAAAACGAGAATTCCTACATCAGTCTAAGATATTTTAAATTACATGAATATGTGTGTAACATTAAAGTTAATCATAAGTACGCATCGGCGGCTCTTACCGTAATTAAGAGAGAACCTTTTTTAAAAATGTTAGTCCATTATCATTATTAAATTTTAAATTTTACTTTATATTTTTTCTTCTTTATAATGATCTAATTTAATTTTTTTTTAAATTAAATTTCAAATCTAATCATATCTTTATTTTTTTTCCTTCTATTTGTTCTTCCTAATCACATTGCACTGCATCTTTTCAAATTTAATTATCGCCTACACTTCTCCTCTTTACGTCCTACCACGCTGCGCCCACCCACCAAAAACAAAACTCACTTTTCCCTCTCTCTTTCTTTCTATTTCACCTTCTCTTAGTTTTTTTTTTCAGTATTCGAATATCCGGACACTACTGTGAAGCGCTCTTAGTTCGATTTCCATTTTTCTCTCAAGTCAACACCGTTTGACTACAACCTCCAACTTCTTGTTTACCCGACGCTAATGTCAATGACATTATTGTAAAAATATATTTAATCGTGTGTTTATAGGGCCTATCATTTATGTTTGTTCAGGGCCTCAAAAAATCCAAGAGTGTCATATAAGTACGTATAACTATTTATGCGATTTGAATTATTCCTTTCTCCCTTTTAAATGTGCAAATCCTACTCAAGAATTTGTTTCATGGCATAAATTCGTGAGGATATAGTTTTACACCCCAAATAATGATCCAAGAATATTGCTACAATTTGTGGGATATACATATATCTCGTGCTTATTATTGTTTTGAATCCAATTTTTACTACATAAAATGCTTCTTTTTTTTCTTTATTTTTTTATTTTTTTTTTTACGATGTAATCTTGTATACAATAAAAAAATATTATGCTTGCCCTCAGGAGTCGGGAATAATTATACACATTGCTCAATTCTTAAGTCTACAAAATAAAAAAAAGTCTACAAAATAAAAAAAAAAAAGTCTACAAAATATATAGTACGTTACCCTCATTAATTTGTTGCATTATTTTTCCACTAATGGAAGAATAAATTCTCATTCATGCATGTAAAGTCGCACCGATGTCAATTATTTCTAATTAATTTATTTAATGCTTCACTAGCTTTTTTCTTTTCTTTTTTTTTTTAAAAAAAATTTAAATAAAGAAACATATTTCAAAGGTCAAGTTTTTTGTTTCCAATTCATTTTTTCCGCGTGTTTTTGAGCCAGTTGGCCAAATTAATAAAATATTGGAAACTTCAACGACTGACCCCCACCGTAATAGACCAATCCGCGTCCAATACAGCTTTGCCTTTTCGTTTACACAAATAATTAATAAGTTTAGGGGTTACCCCGTAATTAAAAATCTATTCAATAATTTACAAGTTCCTGGAACAAATCCTGACCGTAATTTTTTGTAAAATTAACGGCTCAGATGTATCGGGTGTGAATAGCGATGAAAACCTAGTGGGCTTCCTTCTTCTTTCCGGTTGCCCTATAAATACCACTCCGCCCCCATTCGCATAAATCATCATTCGTTTCTCTTACGGCATATGTCTCAGAGACCTAACGTTCCTCACTTCTCCTCCGTAGCTTTTGGTCTCCATTCGCATCTCCTGGTCTCCAGTGAGATGAACTCCACCTCGAATTGGTGTGTTGATTGTTGATCTGTGGTTTTTGGATTCCGGATTTGTTTGTGATCTTCGATTTTGGGTGGATTTGGATTTTTTGAGGAGTTAGGGTTTTTTCCCCCAATTTTGAGTTATAATGAGTTTGAAAGGATTTGTTGAAGGAGGCATTGCCTCAATTGTTGCAGGATGCAGCACACATCCGCTGGATTTAATTAAGGTTCGGATGCAGCTGCAAGGGGAATCGGCGCCGGCACAGTCTCTCCGCCCTGCGCTCGCCTTCCAGAATTCCTCCGCGCACCACCTGCACCTTCCACCGCCTCCGCGTGTTGGGCCGGTTTCCGTCGGTCTGCGGATTGTTCAGCAGGACGGCGTCGCCGCTTTGTTTTCCGGAGTCTCCGCCACGGTTCTCCGCCAGACGCTGTACTCGACCACAAGGATGGGGTTGTACGACGTGATGAAGAAGAGATGGACGGATCCGAACACCAACACCATGCCGCTGACGAGGAAGATCGTCGCCGGATTGGTCGCCGGTGGCATCGGAGCCGCCGTCGGAAATCCGGCGGACGTGGCGATGGTGCGGATGCAGGCCGACGGACGCCTACCGGCGGCGCAGAGGCGGAACTACAGGAGCGTGGTGGATGCGATCACGCGGATGGCGAAGGGCGAGGGGATTGGTAGCCTGTGGCGCGGGTCATCCCTTACGGTGAACCGCGCGATGATCGTGACGGCGTCGCAGCTGGCGTCGTACGATCAGTTCAAGGAGATGCTTCTAGAGCATCACGTGATGAAGGACGGGCTGGGGACGCACGTGACGGCTAGCTTCGCCGCCGGGTTCGTGGCGGCGGTGGCGTCGAATCCGGTGGACGTGATTAAGACGCGCGTGATGAACATGAAGGTGGAGGCAGGGGCGGCTCCGCCGTACAGCGGCGCCATGGACTGCGCGTTGAAGACGGTGAGGGCGGAGGGCCCGACGGCGCTCTACAAAGGGTTTATACCCACGATTTCCCGGCAGGGGCCCTTCACTGTGGTGCTCTTTGTCACACTGGAACAAATCCGGAAAGTGCTCAAAGATTTTTGACCACGTCTGGTGGTTATATTATTTTTATCGATGATGATGATGACGACGACGATGATGCCGAACAAATTATACTATTATATACACACATTATTAAAGTATTCCAGCTACAAGCCAGCATCAAAATATTAAGTTGAATTCACTTTTAGGAAAATGTACGCACTGATTTCACAATATATTTTCATTCAGTTTATACTATTTATTTTTCAAAAAATATTACATAAGTAAAAAACATTAAATCAAATATAAATTTTTTTTTTTTTTTTGAACTTTCAAATTTTAAAAAATTTCTATATAAATCAACCTCTAATCTATTATTTATTAAAGTATTATTTCTTTTTTTTTTAAATTAATAATAGCAAATTATAATTTTTTAATACTTTTTCCCGCTAGAAAATATACATATTTTTATTTTATGACTTTCAATTACATTAACTATTTTTTCCATAAATATTCTTAATTTATATCATATTATTATTTTTAGACAAAAAAATAAGTGCAAAAATGTCATTACATTACTTTCAATTATTCATTATAATTAAAATACTATTATTTTTTAAATATCGCGCCAAAACTAAAATGTATATATTGTAAGTGGATGGAGGGAGTAATTAATATTTTTTTTATTTAATATTATTATTATTAGAAAAAATAGCAAAAAACTCTATTATAGTTTTTCGAATTCGTTGAAAACCTCTGGTCGTTTTAAAATTCTAAAAAGCCTATTTATGTTTATATAATGTTGCATATTCTCTCCCTTCTCTAAATTTGAATAACGGAAGTTAAATTTTATTGATCGTTATATCCTTATTTATATATATTTTATTTTATTTTTCTCTCTATCTTTTTTTTTCGTCTCTTCTTTCTTCTTTTCTTCTCCCCAACAACACTTCGATTTTTTCATCTTCTTCTTCCTCAAATTCTCTTCACAAGCGCACTAGGTTTTTCTCCAATTTTTTATTCTTCTTGCAGCTCCACCAGGTTTTTTCTTTTCTTCATTTTTCCTATATTTTTTTCCTTATTCTTTATCTCCAATTTTTTTTTTTTAATAATGAAGAATTGAAAAATAATAAGAAAAAAAAGAAAATGACGGGGCAAAACAGAGCTGGAGCAGGGAAGAAAGGAGAAGAAAAAGAAAAAAAAAATGAAAAAAAAAAGGTTGGACTAGGTTTTTTTTTTTTTTTTTCCTTCAATTTTTTTTTTTTTTTTTTTCCAATTTTATTCCGTACTCATTTTTCTTCTCCAATTCTTCTTGGTTTTTTTTTTCTCTTTTTTTTCCTCCAATTTTTTTCTTCTTTCTCTCTTTTTTTCCCCAATTTTTTTTCTTTATTTTTCCTCCCCAATTTGCTTTCTTCCTTAATTCTTCTTTAGCACTTCTTTTCGTTTTTTTCGATTGATTTTAAATCTGAATGTCAAATTGATTTATTAAATTTTTGGGATTGGTAAAACAGAAGAATAAATTGATAGTACAGAGAACAGTAAAGAAGAAGAAAGAATAAGAAAGAAGAAATAAGAAATAAGAAGAAGCTGCTGTAAAAAAATAATCATTATGATATTTTAGTAATTTTATATAGAAATATATCGATTTATATAGCAAAAATTGCATAGCAGACGCGTAAAATACAATCGCCCTTAAATTCTAATGGACGGGGAATTTTTTGCAATATTTTGGAAACTACAAGTAGATTTTTTGGAATTTTAGAATTTGGCAAATTTGCTATTTTGCCTTATTATTATATACAAATTTTACATTTTTATATCTTTACATTTTATCAATTCTAGTTTTTTTACTCATTTTTTTCAATACTTAATATAGTAATAATTAAGGATGCTTTTGGTTGCAAATTAAAATTTGAGTTTGGTTGAATTTTTTGGTTGGATTTGTTGTTAGTTGATTTTTTAATAATGATATATTGATTGATAGTTAATTAAAATAAAATATATCCATAAATTTAAATTTAAATATAATATAGATTAATATTTTGTTTTATTTTTTACAATATTAGTAAATTTTCTTTTGAAATATTTGTTTCCATACAAAATTGTGTAGATTAATTTTTATTTTTTCATCGGAATGATCAATTTTATTAAATTATAGTAATATAACACTTTTAAAAGTCTCTTTTTTTTTAAAAAAAAAAAATAATAGAATAATATTTATTTTTATAAATTTTAGAATGATATAAAACTTTGCAAACAAAAATACTTTTTTAAGGTTAAACTGTTTTTTTGGTCCCGTAACTGGACCCCTTTATCATTTTAGTCCTATAAGTGGAACATGTTGCAAACTAGTCCCATAAGTGAAAAATTTTCTCTGTTTTAGTCCTCCGGCGCCGGAGACGCCCGTGTGGCTCGCTGGAGGTGACGTGTCCACCAGGTGTCCCGCCAGGTCAGCGACACCTGGCAGACACGTAGATTTATTTTTTTTTCATTTTTTTAATTTTTTAATTTTTTTAATTGTACCAAATAAAAAAAATACAAATCAAAATTTAAAATAAATTAAAAATAAGTTTTAAAAAAATTTTAAAAAATGAAAAAAAATCCACGTGTCCGCCTGGTCAGCGACACCTGGCGGACACGTTACCTCCGGCGAGCCACGCGGGCATCTTCGGCGCCGGAGGACTAAAACAACGAAAATTTTTCACTTATGGAACTAGTTTGCAACATGCTCCACTTACAAGACTAAAATGATAAGGAGTCCAATTACAGGACTAAAAAAAAACAGTTTATCCTTTTTTTTTTTAAGAAACTTTTGAAAATAGGATTAAATATATTCAAATTTTAAAAGTTTAACGAAATTGTACATAATAATGATGATTGAATACACTTCTAAAATTAACATTGATCAAAACAATTGGCATAAATGAGAATATGAAGTTTGAAATCAAATAACCAAACAAACCACCCTTAATTTCAGTTACAACAACATAGCCTTCTTTGAAATTAATTTGATGAACACAAACCCTTTTTTTTTGCCAACTGAATTCACTCTGGACTCTCAATTGCAATTGAGGACGACACAAATTGGCGATCGACAACGTCTTCAGATGGACGATTCAGCTACGGGTGTTCCCTTCAGTAAAATGTAAATGCTCCTTTGGCGACGTCGGACCTCCAGAAATCCAACAACAAACCCCGTCAGACAGAACAGATCCAAACAGTAGCATGCTTCACGGGGCATTCACGAACAACAGCTTCAGGTCGACCAGGCGACTCCTCGGGGCATCAGACATATAAATCTCAATTGAACACGGCATATGAAGAATGAATGTGCTCTATAAATCTCAATAGCGTATCATTGGTGCTCTTGTTGAGAGATGGCTGAAGGTTCTGAATTTCGCGGAGTGATAACTGAACAAATGAATCGATTGTGGCTGCAATTGGAAGCCCTAGCGGCTGAAATTTGATTTGTAAAAAATCAACAATCTTTTGGGGCTCACCAGACACATGATCTTGGAAATCAGATCGTTGCAGCACGGGGAATTGCTTCTAGGTTACGATCTATGAGATTGGACTTCCTGAGATTTGATGGAAGCGATGTAGATGCTTGGATCTTTGCAGTTGAACATTATTTTACCTTGCATGGCACACCGGCTGAGCAACGACTACTTATCGTCTCCTTCCATCTTGATGGGGCTGGGTCGGAATGGTTCCGTTGGATGAAAGGTAATAATTTAATAAATTCATGGGATAGTTTTTTGGCTAATGTTTGGACCATGTTTGGACCATCACAATTTGACGACCCTCAATGTGAGTTATGCAAAACCCTTCAGCGGGACACTGTGTCTACATATCAGGCAGAATTTGAGAAATTTATTAATAGGGTGACGGGATTATTAGATAGCTTATTGATTTCATGCTATGTAGCCGGATTGAAGCCACTGTTACAATGTGAACTTTTGATTGTCAAACCAACATTATTGGGAGAAGCCTTTGCCCTCTCCAAGCTTTATGAGGCTAGAAATGATGAGATTATGAGGAATTTCCACACATATAATAGAGGGGCGCAACCATCTAGTGTGGGTCACAGTACATGTACTGCTTCTGCTCAGCCTCGACCTCTACTATATTCCCTGCAAGCTCCAAAACCGTCCTTATTATTACCGGAATCTAATACCAAATCCCCTCTACTCCTTACTCCACAAACCACACCTCAAATTTCCTTCTAGATAATTACTCCATCGGAAAGGCAAGAGAGGATCGCAAAAGGTCTTTACTTTAATTGTGATAAAAAAAATAGGCTCAAGGGCATGAGTGCAAGAGTCATTTTTATTTAATTATGACAGATGACAATGATGAAGCGAACCCAATAGAGGACAAGCCAATCGTGTAAGTAGACATAGGTGATGAAATGGTTGAAACTGGAGATGTTTCCATTTTGAACTCCTTGATGAGTCACAGAAGTCCACGTTCGTTGCATATTTTGGGCACAATTAATGAGAAAGAAATAAAAGTACTTATTGACAGTGGCAGCACTCACAACTTCATGCAACCATCGATGGTCGAAAAATTACGACTCCCTGTTCGACCTATCAAAGCCTTCAAGGTGTACATTGGCAGTGGTGACTCATTAGTTTGCTCTAGCGTGTGTCCTCATGTCGAAATTCTTCTACAAGATGTCAAGTTTCTCGTGGACATATATGTGTTACTCATAAAAGGTGCTAAATTAGTCTTGGGAATGCAATGGTTGTAGGGCTTAGGCAAGGTAACTCATGATTATGCTAAACACTTGATGGAATTTAAGCATAAAGGAAAACCAGTTATGCTGAAAGGTTTGGCACAACTTGATGCCCATATGATTTTCTTTCAACAAATGCAAGCCTTGCTACAAGACGATGAGGTCTTTGGGCTTTTCGAATTATATGCTTATGAAGCTAGTACTGAATGACCAACAATCAAATTTCTTGGCCGAGAGGGTTGCCAAAAATTGGATTGTATAGACTACTCGTGCCAACAATGTGCACATTCTTTTTCGGAAGCCCTATTGAAAGAACTCTAGAGTTAAGCGTGCTTGCCCTCGATAATTTGAGGATGGATGACCCTCTAGAAAGTCTCCTAGGGTGCGCGCGAGTGAGGATAGAAGCGCGCTGAAAGAAATTGTGTTGATTTTTAGGGCCAGTCTACAATCTCGACATGCCCGACTTTGCATTGCTTGCGGGTTGGGGTGTCACAGAATCACTCGATTTTCTGAAAGATTT